CGCAATGATGATGTCCTCCACAACTAGACTGAAGAACAAAATGACAGCAACTTGTCTGTTCCCCTTCTCCTAATTCCCCAGCGCTCTTCCCATTCTCCAATTCCCCAATAAAAAAAATCTTTAAAGAGAAGAAAAAGGATTAATCATCATTCTACCATCCTATACGAATGATTTTTCAGGGTAGCCAAATGACCCTGATTGATGAGGAAAAATTCTTTACAGGATTCAGTTCATAACTTTGAAAGAAATGATAAGATTAGAAATATTGTCCTTTGCAAACTTGAAAACAATGGATGGAACCATTAAATGAAAGGTTGCTGGGAAACATTATAGTGGAAGAATCGTGTGGTTACCAACTGAACCCACTGATGAGTCTCAGCATAAAGAAGAGTGAGAGAACCAGAAATAGTGCACTGAAGTATGGAGAGATGAAAAGAAAGTGGGCCTGGGATTTGCTTCAAAATACTTCAGCAAAAATAGTTTAACAACGACAAAAACAACGAAAGTGATAGATGAAAGTGCGGCAGAATGTTGATGACTGCTGAAACTTTGTGATGGGGTTCATTACACCACTATCTCTAATTTGTATATGTTTGAAATTTTACACAATTTTTAAAAAGTAAGGCATACATACCTTCATTTTCTTAAGACAATCAGCTTCCCATAATTTAATTTTGGATTGCAAATTAAAGATAAATGGAAAGTCACTGAAAACAATGAATCTGTGGTTTTCCTCAGGCATCTAAAAAATAAACAAGATAGCAGTTTTGATAATTAAAAGAAAAGAAAAAGTTCATTATTTTACCTCATCACTTTAAAATTATGTCTCTGTACTTTTTGGAATCTGTTTTTAAGAATCCAAATTACTTAGAAACAAATTTCTAAGAAGATGTATTTGTTTTGTGAAAGCTGTTTAAGTTTTCAATGATCATCTAATTTAGCAAATTCAGTATTGTAATAAAGAAGTTTTCAAATATTGATTTACCAAAGAGACACTTGAATAGCTACTCTATGTGTTCCCATTTAAAGTATGAAAATTTTCAAAAGTAAAAATATTGCTCTTACCGGGTTGCTATCCCTAATGATCTTTCTTATTCTTTCTCCACGGAAGTTCAACAAATCAGAGAGTTCATTTATGTTGAAAGCATTTTCTGGTAGTTGACAGTTAGCTTTGTTTACCTCAAAGAGAATATCACCTGTGAATATCATTTTCTATCAATAAATGATTT